TTTCTAGCCATATAAACTAAATTGAAATCCAAGATCTACAACTCCAGATATGACCCAATGATTGAATAGTGTTCTAGTTTGGACCAAACCAGCATCACTTTTCTAAGCTTCACCCTCTCTTTATCTTCTTAATTTTAGTAGTTGAACTCATTAATCAATCTTTTAATTTATGTTATAGGCCTTTATTTAAGATGGACATTTACTATAAATTAAATATATCTTATAATATCAGACTTATTATTATAAAACATGCTTTAGTTAAAGAGTTATTAATACTTCAAGTGCAAAATGCTGATATAAAGCCTTGATAAAAATACACTTTTAAGATTAATCAAATACTATACAAAAATCAATCATACATCAAATCCATTAACTGCCTAGGACATGGTAAGTAACTTGATGATGAGGGCATTGAATGCACAGTTGTTTAAATCTTTCCCAATACTTGGAGAGTGTCTCCCCATGAGATTGTCGAATCCCATATATTTTTTTTCCTTATATAGGCAACTTGAGAGGTCATATATTTTTTTCCTTATATAGGCAACTTGAGAGGGTGGGAAACACTTTTGTAGGAAAATTTTCTTCATGTCATTCCAAGTCCCAATGAAACCTAAGAGAATAGAGAAAAACCATGTTTTTGTTGCCCTTTTAAAGAAAGAGGGAAAGCTTTCAACTTAACCTGTTCTTTCTCAAATCCATGCAATTTCATACTAATGCAAACCATGTGGATCTCCTTGAGATTAGTATGAGGATCTTTTCTAGCAAGTCCATTAAATAATAGCAATAAGTGTATAAAACCAGACTTGAGCTCAAAGTTGATATTGTTGTCAATGTTTATGTATAATAGTTGATTCTCTATGTTAGGAGCAACAAGCACTTTGAGTGTCTATTGTCTTGCAACAACCATGGTGTTGACGCGAGCTTCCTTTTGTAACCTGTGTAAAGTGTTTTCTATTTCAAGATCTACTTGCATTTGTCTTTGGTTAGTAGAATGGGTTACAAGCATAAATAGTCAAGAAAACTCAAATGAATACAATCACATATGAGATTTAAAATAGTGCTAATTGAATAAAAGTCCTATACTGGATCACAAAAATGCCTAAAAACTCTAAAAAACATGGGAATTTGACCTTGATAGGGTAGGGCTAGTGGCTAAAAGTACTAGTCTCGTTCAGAACATTGTTTTCCTTTGGAAGACAAAAGACCGATGCTTAATTCCACCAAAAAATCTATTTTGAACAATACATGTATCATGCCTATATAGTACCCCAAGCAAAACTGTTTTCTTTTCTTCTTTTTTTAACAAAATAAATAACAATCATAGAAAATAACAATTACAACATAAAAATCAACTAAAATTATGTCACGATCAGATAAATTAATTATCCTAGCTTAAATAAATAAGATAGTATAGAGCAAACAAGGGGTTGATCCCATGAGGAATGTTTAGTTCAGATTTTTATGTTATACAATATGTAATTGGAGGGAATTAAGGTTATCTAGGCTATAATAGAATTAAGCAATTAAGCTAAATTAAATAAATCAGAAAATTATCAAGAGAATAAACCTTAATTTGAAGTAGATGTCCATCTATGAAAATCAAAACCGATCATTAAAACAATACATCAATTTATATTTTGAACATTTATCTTTTCTTAACATTGGTTAGTCAACAAATTCGTCATATAAATAACCCTAACCATAAATAATTACGATGTCTGCACTAGTAATTTAATTCAATGGCAGCTTTATGAACTAGATAGGTTGATTAATCTAGACAACATAATTGTCCGCAGTCCATGTTTGCTTTAATTGAATATTTTTCCTAAGATTAATAACTTAGATCCGCCACAATAATTAATCTCAATTGCTTTATAAGTTTATATACCACGACTTCAGTTTTAATAGAAAACTTAGCAATAGATCGTTTGCAATAACAATTTAAAGTCTGCTCTAGTAATTAAAATAAACAACTATAGGAAATAAACATAGAAAAACAAACATGTTCATCATATAAACTAAAAGGAAAAGGTAAAACAAACATATTCATCATTTTTGTCTATTGAATAACTAATTAAAAAGAAAGAATAATGCATGATATTGGGTTTTTAGAGGAAAGGGTGTTTTTCTCTCTCTCTTTTCTGGTCGCCCCCTCTGTTCCTTTGTTTCTTTCTTTTTATTTGATAGGAAACCATAATCTTCCTTTCTTATCAAATAGTCATTTTCTAAGTAGACAATTTACATTTAAGTATTTCAATGATTATTTTTCTAAAAAAAAAAATAGTCTTGCATAAAATCTTCAAGCTTTGAATTTTAACTTATAAGAGTTAAATTGATGAAACAAAAACTTAGATATCAGTTTGGATACTTTGGGAAATACTTTGAACTTGTTTCTTCATAAAACCTCTTTGTTGGCAGAATTTATATGTCATCTTAAAAAAATCATATCTCTTTCATATGAGCTTTTTTTCTACTAAAATTTTATAGGCTAATAGGTCTTTGAGTAAAAAATCCAACAAGATTAAGTTTTCATCAAATGGACTTCTCTAGCTCAAGATATCCAAGTAGAAATGGTTGAAGGTCAACAATGGTAGAATATAAGATTTGTTTTTGAATACTGTGATTTCTATGTTCTCTCTCTTTTTATTTTTCTTGCCATATATTTATAGAAAGGTGGATGTTAGCTTTCTAATGTTACTAGAATCACTTTTTGACTTCTAGAGCTTAAACTCTACACAAAACATCGATCGGAAATCAAATTTATTAATTATATTCAATTTTTTCTTTGAATCTTATACTTGAAAGTGTCTTTAAAATATAAAATAAATAATATTAAGATATTTTATATATAAAACATAGATAAAATACTAGGTAAATATAAATAAAACTATCTAATAATATAGTTGTATCATTAGACGCATCCTAAATCAGAAAGATTGGGCATGTTAGGATAAGATACGTGGATTATGCATTTAATACAAATCACAATACACAAACCAACTTTTTCTACAAAACAGAGAACCAATTGCACCCACTTGTAGGCTCCAGCGTTTTTCTACAAAACAGATAACCAATTGCACCCACTTGTAGGCTCGTTGAAGCAACCCTTTACTGCCAAGATACCCAATGACACACCCATAAAATTGAGCTGAACAACCAAACACACCAGCTTCCAGCCGTGCTGAAGTAAGCCTCCATTGCCAAGATACCCAAGGGATAAATTCATGAAAGTTGATGCGTAAGCCAACCCCAAGAATCAAACACAAAAGGATTGTGAGAGCCTAAAAATAGAAATGCTTATTGTAATCCACAATAGTCAAGGAAAAAAAAATTGATTGAATCCCAACAGGGATGCCTCGCAACCGACAATTATATAATTTTTTTTCTTATGCACTATGCACTTACGCCTTTGTGTCAACTGATCTGGCTCACAAAAAGAAGATGAGAGCTGGAAAAAACCATAACCAAAGTGGCAAAAAAAGGATAGAGTAATCAGTCTTTATTCTCTACTGCATCAGTTTTCAACCAACAAAAACAAAGGATAGAATAATCATTCAACTATTAAAACCCAGAGTCAAAAGCTCTCACACAAAGCTGATCTCTTATACTGTATAATAATAATAATATCATAATACGAAATGTGAACAAACCTTAAAAGAGAAAAACACTTTCGAGGCGTCAAATATAAAAAAGATGACTCTTCCTTTATTTCTTTCGTGCTTGATAAATATTGAAGTCAACACTATTTTCCCGTAGGAGAAACACCTCCTCAAATAACTGGTTTCTAATTATATTATGATTTAATACTATCTTGTATTTTGACTTTGTAAAGTTTGCTTGTCGATAGTATGAAAACTAAAGAAGAAAGATAACAGTACAATGGAGAGTAATAAAATATCAACTCATTTGTAATAGTAAAAAGTAGCACATAAATGGTCAGTTGCAACAATTAATTGTTATCAGGTCGAAAGAAGCAACATCAGGTGGAGGCCAAAATGGTGATAGAGGAACGGTGTCAAATTGGGACCAATACTGACAATGCCAACAAGAATGCTAGCTGCTGCAGCTAGAGAGCCTCCTCTATGAGTTTCTTAGTGAGAGCTTTGGGGAGTCCCATCACGCTATCAGTTGTCCCCACCTGCACAAAATACCAAAAATCTTGATGCATGTTACGATAAAAGGAATAAGGAAACAATTAGTCAATGGAAGATGCAATATCAGTTATCCAGGTCCTTGTCCAGCTAAATAGCTTGTGGTTTTATGTATCTAATATCTATACGTGATTTCCCTGGGATCAAGGGTAGAAAGGACAGTCAGCCTAATTATAAAATCATTTCTTACTTTGAATAACAATACATATTTTACTCAATTGCAAGTTCTTCAAATGTATCATGTCTGGTTATCGAGGCTCCAAGGGATGCAGCCAATTGCCAAATAGGCATCACATAGTAAACCGGTTGCGCGGTTTCAGTTTAAAATTTAAAATCATCAATCACTTCATGAAAGGACTAGCTCGGGACACTATAGTACATGCTTGTCCCTGCACCAAATGTTCCACTCTATGAGTCTTCCGTTACCATTTGTCCTATTACATATTGCACAGGGATTAGAAAACCCACCACTTCTTTAATGTAGGGCAATAACAAAGGATGCTCAATTATTAGCCCCCCGGCAACTCTGAGCACAATTCCCTCATCAATCTGTGGAATGCATGAAAGAAAACAAAAGGAAATAAATATAACTTCAGGTTGGTCACTGGTATTTCGTAACTTCATGCTAGCCATTTCCATCAATGATATAACTTCACGAGAACTAAGTTTTACCAGCTTCTCAATGACTTCATCTGGTATTTCGTGGAAATAGATCTGTAGGGCATCACAACTTAACAGTTAGTCACTGGTAGATATCATCAGGTTAGAGAAACTATCACAAAGTGTTTCATCATTATGTATCTGTCTAATCACTGTATCATGTATGTGTTCTGCTATTGGCATCAGCATGGTAATCATTCAGGTTGGTCTAAGCAGAAAAGCTTGACCACTATTAATTAAAAAGAGACAAAGAAAATGGTACCTCCACTCTGTCCCATTCTCCTTTCCTGAATCCAGTTTTAAGATTTGTGACAAGAACTGATCCCACAGTTGCGGCGTGTCCCCCAGAATACCCTGCACTTCATGTAAATAAATAAAGAAAGCAATGGGAGAGTAAAAGGCATGGAAAGAGAGTTGACAGAATGCTGAGCAAACCTTTTATAAATTCCCATGCTTCTTCCTTGCTGGCTGGCTTTTCCCTGATCACACCTTCATAGACTACCACCTTCAAATTGATGGCAATAGCAGTAAGTAACAGAACAAATATATTTTTACATGCAGTGAAAGATCCTGTTGATTTCTAGCTACAAGCATGCATGCAAAACCAGTTCATGGATGGATGGGGTAGGAATAGTAGGAGAGATGGTACGTCCTCAACTGACGATAAAGAATTGGCCTCTAAAATACATCACCATTTGAAGTATAGAATCTCTCGTCTGATTTCCAGTTTACACAACCAAACAACTTGTAAGCCATGAAGAATATTCATTACCACCAAAAGGTTAGCTCTCAATTTTAGGGAATTGTCATTACCATAGCTGCCTACTAAATTTGCCAAAATGTTTTATTCCAACAGAAGCTTACATATTACAAAATACTTGTCCCATCTACAGATACAGTTCACTGCAAATAATTATCATTTATACCTTATTGGTTTTCCTTTATTGAGTTTTGCTTAGGTATAAGAAGAGGAAGAGCCAAGAAATAATATGCAATAGCCTTTTCTTTACAAGGCTCACATATATGCCAAAAAAATGAAATACAGATGACTAAATCAGGAAGAAAAGTATATCAATATATACTTGATCCGCAGTAATTAACAATGTTGGTTCAGCATCCTTAGTGTAGTCACTGATTGGGAGCTTTTGCAAAATAGTGTCAGCCTGACATGAAGTTTTCACCAAGGTAAGCACCAGAGTCCACACTAAATTAAGCCAAAAGTATTGAGGCAACAACAATAGAGAGAAGGATGACAAGGTAAATAATGTCAAATTACCAACAGCATCATTGGCTAAAAATCATGCACGCAAAAATACTGAAAACAAATATATAAACAGAATGAATCAAGTAGCATCCAGCAGCCCAAGCAGGATTGGAAAGGCATAAGAACAACTAGAGAATCCACTACAACCATGCGATTGCAATGGTTGAAAAAAGGGTGTTAAAAAAAAAAGTTTCATCTATAATATTTGCATGATCTAACCCGACGCAGCCCATCAAGATCAGATAATGTGAATATTATAGATGATAGTTAGTTAAAAAAATTAAAAAATAGATATTACGAGGCAAGTTGTGGTCGGGATTTTTGAAACCCTATCAACTTGTATACCTTATACAAGCAGTATAAATACTCTCTCCATTTCTTAATCTCTCGCCACTCAGCCTCTTATTCTCTCATCTCCCTCTCAACCTATATACCCTAAAAATGCGCAGTAGCCTCCTCCGACCACTGTTTTAATAAACTAAAACCACCAATCTCTTCCTCTCATCCTTATAACCAGAAGCCTAACTCAATATTGACAACCTCTACCTTACCCCTGTCAATCAAACCTTCAAAAAAAAATCAAAAACCTAACAATAAACTTACTTAGGTCAAATTTCTCTCTTTCAGGTTTCAAGCACTCCATGCATCATTTTGTAAGTATATTTCTCCTCTCGTGGCATCTAAAGATCAATAAGGAGTTCCACGTAGCACAAAGGTTGTCTTTGTCTTCAGTGACAATGTTTTCTCACTTTTTGGATCAAAAGCAACTCCAATGAATCAAAAGCAAAGGCGTGAGAATGGCTAGTATTTGTCTGTTGCATTGGATGAAAGATTACGACTTTGGTATGCTTCCTTTTTCCTGATTGCAAATGTGAATATGTATTGCATCATTAAATCCACATTGTGCTCCTAGTACTTCGGTGAAAATTGAAACCCTTTAGAGATTAATAAAATTTCTCAAGAACTAGTATGTTGTCATACCTTTAGGATTCAGTATTGTTGTGGTTGTTCAACCCGTGGATATCTATAATATCCACAAAAAATTTTGTCCAACCCAATACATTCCACCCGCTCAGATGCCAAAAACAATTTGACTGGGTCGGATTTACAATTTATAAAACATTAAAAGTTGAGTTAGATACAATTATGAGTTAATCCATGAACAACCCTCGAACATTCCAAACATACACATACATTTGAGGATTTTCTTATCATTATCTAGTATCCACCCTCGCTAATAAATAACTTCCGATCAATTAGTTACATATGTTATTTCATTGAAAAGTTCCACTGAAGCTGGCTCACCATCCCTGTGTAGAAACAAGACCAAGAAGCTTTCCTATCAAAGCAGCATATGGGAAGCACCCAGTCTCCCATTTACTGCAAAACCAAGTGCAGTATCTAAAACATTACAATTTCTTGGTATCCTCGAGCATTAAAGGAACTAGTCTAAACCCAATGCACCTGAAGCATCTAAGAACAGGCAAAAAAGAAAGAAAGCAAAAACAAAACATACAGTGTCGGCGGCAACCAAAATAGTGGGTTCCTCATCCTTGTCTTGATGATTATTCATAGTAGTAGTTCGTAAATTTGCTATAATAGCATCAGCCTGAGATGCAATTCACATTCATCAATTACTCGATGAAATTATTCTTAAATCAAACTCCACTCCAATTTTATGATGTTACAAAAACATAACATAAATTAGAAAAAAAGAGAAAAACAGTAAATAACCTTGACAACAATCATTTCAAAGTTTACCTTGGCCTCAGCAAGAGTCATTACTAAATCTTCTGGTTTTTCTTCGCGAATGCTCTTTTCATCAATATCTGCAGTCTACCAGAACAATTTCCAATTTTTAACATTATATACTGAAGATAAACTTTGACAAGAAAAAAAGAAGAATGTAATTTAAAAGAAAAAAAGAGGAAGAATTTACAGAGATTGTGAATTCATATCCCATCTCTTCTAATATTTTCCTTCGTGAGAATGAGGCCGACCCCAATATTAACTGCAAACAAACACATGGATAAGTGGAAAGCAATTGCCAGTAGAAACTTATGTAGAATAAACCCCAATTATGCCCGAAAGTAATTTTTTTATTTTCATGGAGATTTATTTTTTAATTACCTTAAAAGAAGGAATGGCATCCATTCCTCCGTAGAAGCTGGAGATAGCTGAAGCAGGTGGATAGAGCTAGAGACAGAAAATGAAGAATTGGTCAAGTAATAGGGCTTTTAGTACTAGTTGGCCGAGACTGAGAAAAACGTGGCCTCTAAAAATCTGGAAAGCTAATTTCAAAGAACTACGCCCAACTTCATATATCATATTTCAACCTTTTATTGGGTTACTAGATTGAGTCGAACTTGCGAGTCCACAGGTAGAATTTCAGAGCTTGAGGTCAGATTCTAATTCCTTTATATTCGTTTTAACTTATTAGGTTGGAGATTTAATTAATAAATTGTTAGGTTAATTCAAGTCTATTATTTTAACCAAAATTATAGTGTTTTAGTTTTTTATTAAGAAATTATTAGTTTTAGTCTGGTCGGATTTAGCCAAGTCATTTAGGCTGCCTCCAATCCATTACTTAACTCAAAATTTTGAGTTAATATTAACATGAGTTCAAATTAAAACTAGATCCAAAAAATTTTAAATTATTTTTATTATATCACTTAAATTTAGTTAAATTAATAGCAAAATTAGTTAAAATTAAAGTTTTAAATTACTTGTTTATCAAAACTAGATATAATAACAATGAATTATTCACTATCTATTATATCATTTATCGATGTAAGTAAAATTTTTTTTTAAACAATTATAAATTTTATTTTTTAAAAAAATTTTAAACAATTATAAATTTTATTTTTTAAAAGAGTTTTCAGTCTCAATTATTAAAGATAAACATAAATGATAATGAAAATGAAAATATTAAAGTGTCAAATGCCTTTGGACTAGTATTAATAAATTAACAAAAATTAATTTATTAAATGAAAATATAATATTTATGGACCTAACAAAAACTATATATAATTATGTGATAATGTTAAATTTATTAAATTATTTTACTAAGTTTTTTTTTCTAAATTATTACCATTTATTACAAGAAATAATTTTTGGAATGTGAATCTTATTATATTTAATAAAATAATTATAATTATAAAATTAAATAATTGATAAAACATCAATTGCATAATAACAATCACTTATTAAAAAATTTTAATAAAAAAATAATTATTTTTAGTATTATTTATTATTATAGCATTAGTTAGCTATAGAAACTTTTTCTTAATTTATTTAGGAGTGTTGCGGGGGATGTTGAATGGTGTGCTAAAAACTTTTTGAGAGGTATGTTGATAAAAGAAAAGGATTTTGGGTATAATCATAAAATTATAATTATAAAGTTCAGAAGTTGCTACCTAATATTATGAATACTAAAAAATTTATGGTCTACGAGAGTCTGAGTAAGAGACTGGATATGTAAGGAGAAGATGCATCGCTCTTGGTATACCTTACCTAAGGTAAATTGTATTTTTGTATGATAGTTATTCTAAGTTGTGTCTCTATTTGTTGGTCTCGTCTAACATTCAAGGTAAATCTCCATTCCTAAAGAAGTTTATACCTTGTTGGATTAAATTTTAATTATTCTAAAGTCTAAATTTTAATATTATATTTATTTTACACTTTGTATCTTTAATATTTAAGGGTATACTTTACTGTGTAGTTTTACACACCCCTGGATATTAAAGTTTATAACTAAACCCTAAAACTTGAAATATAAAGTGAACAAAATAATTGATCAATGATTTTTGATATTTTGGTCAAATCCTAACAGATAATCATAAACTAGTTACGATATTTTTTTTTTTTACATTTTTAAAATATGAGAAAGATACAATTTTTTTTAATGAAAATACACTTGGAAAACTTTTAAGGTTTGATCGTATACATGAAACAAGACATTTTTGTTTTTTGAGAGGAAATTGATTTAAAAGTTTTGAGATTTTTTTTAATTTTCAAACTTTTTAAGAAAGGTTTCATAGAGAACCGAGTATTTTAATACTGAATTTGTATTTTACAATATAAATATACGACCTGCTAGTATGCAAATTTGTAGAAAAACATTTGAGAAAATCATAAATTTTTTGAATTTGTTTTGATTTTTTTAATATTTTATTATTATTATTATTAAATTGGGCTAGACCTAACCCAACCATGTAGGCTGGGTTAAAACGAGTTCAACCTAATTTAGTCGGGTTGGGCTGACTAGCAACTCAACAGTTTCTTTGTTTTTTTTTTTTTTTGGGTGGGCTAGGTTGAAGCTAATCTAGACTATCTCAAGAGTCAATTGTTTTGTAGAACGTGAATCAATGTTCATGTTCTGCATAAAACCAATAAGGTAATAGGTCAGGGGGGATGAGGGATGGAAGAAAAAGAAGAAGCTCACCTAATGTTAGAGTTTTAGTTGTGATTAAGAGGTCTAGTTAGCGACTGAGGAGGCGTTGGTGGAGGAAACAATGACCGATATTAGCTGCTATAAGAGGAAAAAGAAGAAGTTAGTAAAGAAGATAGAGAAACTAGTGGTTGTTGTTTCTATTATTGACGAGGAGTGGATTGGAGGAGGAGATGTGTGGTAGTTGTTCACGGTGGTTTTGGGTTTGTGGTGGCTAAAAAGGCGGCAAAGAGAGAGAATTGACAACGGAGAGAAGAAAAAACTAAGGGGTGGTTAGTTTTTTTGTCAACTTTGCACCCTAATTTCTCCTTCCTTAAGCCACGAAATCCATCTCTAATTATAGGGTGGAAAATGAACATTTTTTCTTTACTAATGTCAAATCTTAGCCCTTGATTCAACCCTGAAAGATCTCAATCTTAGTTCAAGTTGGCTATTATAAACTGTCAAAATTGTTGCAGAATGGCTAGTAGAATTGACCATTTTGGGGTGGTGCCATAACTATTGTGGCATCAATCTATCAAAAAATACCACACTAGAGTGTAATCATATGTCAAATCATCGTTTGCGTGCAAGTTTTGTTAAATTTAGTGGAGAGATGCAACATTAAATGTCTTGGAAAGAAGGTCACTAGAGCAATATTTTCAAGCAAAATGTAGAAAAAGATGAATGGTCACAAGATGACACGTCGTTTGGTCTCCCTTTTTATTGTAAAACGACATCCTTTTTGGGATTTAGGGTTTTAATTTAGCAATTTAGTCAAATCTCAATTTTCTTTCTTCATCTTTTAATTTCTTTTAATTGCACCCCTAATTGACCATGAATTTCCAATTTTATGCAACTTTTGTCCTTGTCAAACTTCAATGTAAGCCCTGAATTTCAGCGCCTTTTTCATTTTGATCCTTGGTCTTATATTTATGTAATTTGACCTTCAATTAACTATTAAACTTTCAATTTTCTTTAATTTCATTCTTGATTTCAATCAATCAATTGAATCCTCATAATTCGATGTCTTTTGCAAAATAGTCCTTAACTGTGAATTTCTTCAATTTAGCCCTTATTTGACCCAAAAATCTTGATTTTCTTGTAATTTGACCCGTAATTTGAATCATTTAACTTGGTAAAAATTAAATTTGATCTTTTAAAATTCCATTCTCAATTAAGCCTAAATTGAGCTCCCAAACTTTTTTTCACCAATTAAGCCCCTAATAAACTTAATTTAACTTATTTAAAGTATAATTAAGTTTTTTCACCTAATTAAATCCTAAGTTAGACCTAAATTAATTCTTAAAAATAATTAAATTTTAATTTGTCTCATGATTAAATCAAATTATTCTATTAAAAATTTAATTATGTCATTAAGCTTAATTTTTATACAGATGCATCCAATAATCATGTAACTTAACCTTATATGTGCATTGACTCTTCAGTTTTAGGTAAAATATGTACAATTAAGCTCCCGATTCCATCCAAAATTGCTGCTTGATTTTTTTCTTACTTTTGTCAAAATGTCAATCTTTTTGCTATTATCATTGAATTATTTTATTTTTATTTTTTTTAAAAAAAAGA